AGAGAAAGCTCTCGACAAAATTCAACACCCATTTATGATAAAAACCCTGCAGAAAGTAGGCATAGAGCGAACTTTCCTCAACATAATAAAGGCCATATATGACAAACCCACAGCCAACATCGTTCTCAATGGTGAAAAACTGAAACCATTTCCACTAAGATCAAGAACAAGACAAGGTCGCCCACTCTCACCACTATTATTCAACATAGCTTGGGAAGTTTTAGCCACAGCAATCAGAGAAAAAAAAGAAATAAAAGGAATCCAAATTGGAAAAGAAGAACTAAAGCTGTCACTGTTTGCAGATGACATGATACTATACCTAGAGAATCCTAAAGATGCTACCAGAAAACTACTAGAGCTAATCAATGAATTTGGTAAAGTAGCAGAATACAAAATTTGTGCACAGAGACTCTGGCATTCCTATACACTAATGATGAAAAATCTAAAAGTGAAATTAAGAAAACACTCCCATTTACCATTGCAACAAGAAGAATAAAATATGTAGGAATAAACCTACCTAAGGAGACAAAAGACCTATATGCAGAAAATTATAAGACACTGATGAAAGAAATTAAAGATGATATAAATAGATGGAGAGATATACCATGTTCTTGGATTGGAAGAATCAACGCTGTGAAAATGACTGTACTACCCAAAGCAATCCACAGATTCAATGCAATCCCTATCAAACTACCACTGGCATTTTTCATAGAACTAGAACAAAAAATTTCACAATCTGTATGGAAACACAAACGACCCCGAAGAGCCAAAGCAATCTTGAGAACGAAAAATGGAGCTGGAGGAATCAGGCTCCCTGACTTCAGACTATACTACAAAGCTACAGTAATCAAGACAGTATGGTACTGGCAAAAACAGAAATATAAACCAATGGAACAGGACAGAAAACCCAGAGATAAACCCACGCACATATGGTCACCTTACCTTTGATAAAGGAGGCAAGAATACACAGTGGAGAAAAGACAGCCTCTTCAATAAGTGGTGCTGGGAAAAGTGGACAGGTACATGTAGAAGTATGAAATTACAACACTCCCTAACACCATACACAAAAATAAACTCAAAATGGATTAAAGAGCTAAATGTAAGGCCAGACACTATCAAACTCTTAGAGGAAAACATAGGCAGAACACTCTATGACAGAAATCACAGCAAGATCTTTTTGATCCACCTCCTAGAGAAATGGAAATAAAAAGAAAAATAAACAAATGGGACCTAATGAAACTTCAAAGCTTTTGCACAGCAAAGGAAAACATAAACAAGACCAAAAGACAACCCTCAGAATGGGAGAAAATATTTGCAAATGAAGCAACTGACAAAGGATTAATCTCCAAAATTTACAAGCAGCTCATGCAGCTCAATAACGAAAAAACAACCCAATCCAAAAATGGGCAGAAGACCTAAATAGACATTTCTCCAACGAAGATATACAGATTGCCAACAAACACATGAACGAATGCTCAACATCATTAATCATTAGAGAAATGCAAATCAAAACAACAATGAGATATCATCTCACACCGGTCAGAATGGCCATCATCAAAAAATCTAGAAACAATAAATACTGGAGAGGGTGTGGAGAAAAGGGAACACTCTTGCACTGTTGGTGGGAATGTAAATTGATACAGCCACTATGGAGAACAGTATGGAGGTTCCTTAAAAAACTACAAATAGAACTACCATACGACCCAGCAATCCCACTACTGGGCATATACCCTGAGAAGACCATAATTCAAAAAGAGTCACGTGGGCTTCCCTGGTGGCGCAGCAGTTGGAAGTCCGTCTGCCGATGCAGGGGACGCAGGTCTGTGCCCCAGTCCAGGAGGATCCCACATGCCGCGGAGCGGCTGCGCCCGTGGGCCATGGCCGCTGAGCCTGCGTGTCCGGAGCCTGTGCTCCGCCACGGGAGAGGCCACAACAGTGAGAGGCCCGCGTACCGCAAAAAAAAAAAAAAAAAAGAGTCATGTACCAAAATGTTCATTGCAGCTCTATTTACAATAGCCAGGACATGGAAGCAACCTAAGTGTCCACTGACATATGAATGGATAAAGAAGTTGTGGCACATATGTACAATGGAATATTACTCAGCCATAAAAAGAAACGAACTGAGTTATTTGTAGTGAGGTGGATGGACCTAGAGTCTGTCATACAGAGTGAAGTAAGTCAGAAGGAGAAAAACAAATACCGTATGCTAACACATATATATGGAATCTAAGGGGAAAAAAAAGGTCATGAAGAACCTAGGGGTAAGACAGGAATAAAGACACAGACCTACTAGAGAATGGACTTGAGGATACAGGGAGGGGGAAGGGTAAGCTGTGACAACCTGAGAGACTGGCATGGACATATATACACTACCAAACGTAAAATAGATAGCTAGTGGGAAGTAGCCGCATAGCACGGGGAGATCAGCTCGGTGGTTTGTGACCACCTAGAGGGGTGGGATAGGGAGGGTGGGAGGGAAGGAAACACAAGAGGGAAGAAATATCGGAACATATGTATATGTATAACTGATTCACTTTGTTATAAAGCAGAAACTAACACACCATTGTAAAGCAATTATACTCCAATAAAGATGTTAAGGGAAAAAAAAAAACCTATACATGTGTTAAAGTTCAGTGAACTGTTCACCAAAAACAAAAAAAAGGTCAATTTACTTTATGCTAATTTTAAAAATAAAATGTTTAAAAAGCAAATGGGAATATTAAAAAAAAAAAACTACTGGGAGCTCCCTGGTGGCGCTGTGGTTAAGAATCCACCTACCAGGGCTTCCCTGGTGGCGCAGTGGTTGAGAGTCCGCCTGCCGATGCAGGGGACACGGGTTCGTGCCCCGGTCCGGGAAGATCCCACATGCCGCGGAGCAGCTAGGCCCGTGAGCCATGGCCGCTGAGCCTGTGCGTCCGGAGCCTGTGCTCCACAACGGGAGAGGCCACAACAGTGAGAGGCCCGCCCACCGCAAAAAAGAAAAAAAAAAAAAGAATCCACCTACCAATACAGCGGACACAGGTTCAAGCCCTGGTCTAGGAAGATCCCACATGGTGCGAAGCAACTAAGCCCATGCGCCACAACTACCGAGCCTGCGCTCTAGAGCCCTCAAGCCACAACTACTGAGCCCACGCACCTATAGCCTGTGCTCTGCAGCAAGAGAGGCCACCACAATTAGAAGCCTGTCCTCTGCAATAAAGAATAGCCCCCGCTTGCTGCAACTAGAGAAAGGCCGCGTGCAGCAACGAAGACGCAACGCAGCCAAAAATAAATAAAACAAATTTATTTTAAAAAAAAACTACTAACAAGTGACTTCCGTTAATAAAGAAATCACTAACAAGTGATTTATTAATTTCATACATAGAAAGGTTTCATGTATTTATTCAATGAATATTTAACTATGGACTACTTGTCAAATACACTTTTTTGAAATATATATTAAAAAGCTGAACAGAAATTATATAGCAGCAGTGAGATTTTGATATATGCACTATGTGTTATTATCTTATTAAATCCTCACAGTTACTCTCAAAGGCACTTATTATTTATTATTCTTACTTTACCAATGCAGAAACCAAATCAGAGAAATTAAATAACTTGCCCAAAGTTGCTGAGATAATAAGTACTTGAGCTAGAAATTAAACATTAGTTTGTCTAATTCAGCATCTGACCAAACAGTAGATGGTCAATTAATGCTGAATGAATGAATGCACATAAATGCATGCTCTATGATACAAGCTGCCTTCTGACATATTTTGTCATGTTAAATGTATGTATTCACATTTTAAAAGATAAAAGAATCTAGATGGATTACATTAAATGGGTAATTTATTCATTAAATTCCTTTTGTAGTTAAGTTCACAGTTTTTAAAAGATCAGATTAAAATAACAGGACTATTTGTGAAACATTAACCAGTTTATTGCACTTGCAAATAGTTTTCTTCTTTTTAGTGCTACATAATCTACTTGATATAGTAATCACAATGGAATGAAGAAAAAAGAAACAAACACAGATACTGTCATTTTCCCTTTCCTTAGAAATTCTTTAATAAAAAAAATCAAAAGACCAACTCACACCAACAGAATAATTTAAAACCAGTATATAAATTTCCTTCAACTAGGTCTCCTTCCTTGACCATATACTCATACTTGGGCCATTTTGATGGTAGTATGTTTTAACACCAACCTCTTCAAAATAAAGAGATGCTGAGAATAATTGAAAAAAGATTAAAAGACCTTTAGAAAGTTTAATAGACGTAAGAGAGTTTTGATGTTATCACATAACTGTTTGAGATCAACATTTTATGTCAATTCAATTTTCAGCAATATATATTAAGTTTCCTATGATATTTAAGCGTTCTATGCTAGTCATCAGAATTATAGTTAGGTACAACCTAGATTATGACACATACTGTTCAGAAAGGATTTAACAGCAGGACTATGACTGCTATCCTCAGAAAGGCCTACTTCTAAGGCTGCCCGTTGGCTGGTACCTGGGAACCTGGATTTGTGGAGGCGTCTCACCATTTTCCCTAACTGATGAGTTACTGTGCCTAAACTGTTTGTACAAACAAAGCGGTTTATGCTGAACACCTGCTTTCCTTTTAGGAGTCTCAAATTTTGTTATGTAACAGTCAGAGGGTGCCTACGTGACCAGCCCCTAATTAAAAACCTGAGAGCTGAGGCTTTAACAAGCTTCTCTGGTAGAAAACGTTTCATATGTGTTGTCACAACTTGTTGCTAAAGGAACTGAATATGTCCTCTGTGACTCCATTAGGAAAGGACTCTTAAACACTTGCACTTCCTCCAAACTTTGCCTAAGGCACCTTTTCCCTTTGCTGATTTTGCTTTGCATGCTGTCACTCTAAGAAATCCTAGCAATAAGAGCAACTACATGCTGAGCCCAGTGGGAACTCCTAGAAAATCATCAAACCTGGAGTCAGTCATGGGGCCTTCCTGACATACATACTAAAAGTTATCTGAGTAAAATGTATACTTACCATCTTACCAGGCAATGTGCTCTGGGAGGAAAGTCATTATTCATACACAGCAAATCTTGCATAGATTGTGGAATAACATCTACAGAAATATTTGATAATTAAAAAGTGAGTATGTTCATTCTAAGGCAGAATTTTATCACATGATTTAAAGAAATCATTCTATGACATGTCTTGCTAGTCCATGTAGTTTTGCGACTGCTTAACGATTTGTATCTAAGGCTAACTCTAAGCTTTGGAGGAAGACCAGTGTCTCGCTTGCTCTCTCCCTTTTCTTTAAAAAAAAAAAAAGTCCATAAAAAAATATATATTGATATATATATCATTCCCATGTTTATATTTTCCATTCTTCTAAATCATGATTCAAACAATTTCTCATTCCTTACTAGAAAACCTTGTTTTATTTGTTCTTCTTAGCCTGCCCTTGTCTTTACTTTTCTTCAAAATTATACTTAGAAGTCTGTCAACTCTATACACTTCCCATGGCTAGCCTTTGCTCACCCCTGGCCGTCTTAAATATTCTTGTAAAACCACTACGCAGCTTCTCCTTTATAACCCATATATCTGTAAGTACATGCATTACTATCCATAATAAGATACTAACATCAATGATAATTACTTACACTCGTAAATGCATAATAAATTCAAAGCATAAAGAATAATGTTTATAAAAATATTTCCTGGAACCTCCCTGGAGGTCCAGTGGTTAGGACTCCGCACTTCCACTGTTGGGGGCGCAGGTTCGATCCCTGGTCGGGGAAGATCCCGCATGCCACACTGTGCAGCCAAAAAAAAAAAACCAATTTCCTTTTGCTGTATAGCTATACTTGCTGAGCAAATTTGTATTTTGTTAATTTGAAAAAAGAATAGGAGAACACTATTGACTTGATGCTCTAATTAAAACAATAAGCAACTCCAATAAATAAAAGACCGGTGTTCAAATCTTCTGACCTCTGATAATCGTTTTAAACACGTATCTCCAAATTAACTGAGCTAATGGTTTGCTTGTAGCTTCTACCATTAGTTACAGCTTCAATCACGACCAAATTAAAACTGCCCAATACATACACACATGCAGCAATAATGCCTTAACTACCTTAAATCCATTCACCTTCTCTCATCATCTATTCATCTATTCTCTCATCTCTATTCATCTCAGAAACACTGATTCTAGGGGCTTCCCTGGTGGTGCAGTGGTTGAGAGTCCACCTGCCGATGCAGGGGACACGGGTTCGTGCCCCAGTCCGGGAAGATCCCATATGCCGCAAAGTGGCTGGGCCCATGAGCCATGGCCGCTGAGCCTGCGCATCCGGAGCCTTGCTCCGCAATGGGAGAGGCCACAACAGTGAGAGGCCCGCGTACCGCAAAAAAAAAAAACTCTTAAAATGGATCTTTCTCTTAAAATGACTGATAATATAAAATCAAGTTGCCTTTGCAAGTTTGTAAATTATGCCTAGCAAATAAAATATATGCCTTTTTGGGGAAGAAACTAACTCTTAAAATTATTTATTAAGCTGCAAATGATGTTTGCTAACTTGAATACTAACTGCAATGCTTATACAAGAGCCTGGTAAACATCAGTAATCATGAGATAGGTGCTTATGTACAGTATCTTATTAAATCCTCCCATTAACCCTCCAGGTAGTATTACTCCATTTTACAAATGAGATCAGTCAAATTTAGAAAGGTCAAGTAACTAGTAAGTAGAAAAACCAGAATTTTAATCCACTTGATCTGACTCTGAAGTCTGGGGTATATCCAAAACATGACACTGACTAATCAATAACTTTTTTAAAATTCTTCAAAGCCCAGCTTAGTTACTTAATTCTCTATAACATCTTCTCTAATCTCTCTGGACTAAAAGTGATCTTTCCTATTCTGAACTCCAGTAAGACTTTGTGCTTTGGGATGGTACTTACCACTTTTTACCTCTTACTATTGTTACTTACTTATAGACTTTATCACCCCTACTGGAATGTAAACTTTTCTCAGTTGGGCTTAGCAGAGTACCGAGCACATCTCAGGCATTCAATAAATATGTGCTGATTTAATTAATTTTAAAATAAATGATGCTGCAATTTTTCCTCTGCAAAGATCATACTCTATTTCAGATGTGAAACGACTCTGCATATGTAAAATATCTCCAGAGGATACTACTTAATTAAGAGAACTAAATTCATAATTCAAAATTATAATCACTCTTACAAGAGTTTAAAAGTATGTAGTACAAACTTACCTTCTAATACTTCATCCTTTCCTTCTTTATCAGGGAATTCTTGTACAAGATAATGATGAGTGATTGAGAACTTGAAATCAGCAAATGAAATCTCATCTGATTTCTCTTCCCATGTGCCAGAAGTAAATATACCCTGTATTTAACAAAAAAAACAAAAAAAGGAAAAACATCTACTTTATGGTATTCAATAGTTACCATTAGGTTTATTAACCACAGATCTTTTTTCCCTTTTTCTGCCCATTAATCTAAAAGTTCAATCCTATATTTATCCTTCCCATAATAAAAGGAAAAGGAAAAATATGTAAGTGAATAAACAAAGAGGAAATTATTTTATAAACTATTTATCAGTGCTCCTTTAGAAGAAAATTCCCCTAGAATATTAACTATCAAGTGACTTACAAAATTGTAATTTTCAAGTAATTTTTGTAAGATGAGTCTCTATATAAAATCATGAATATACAGTAAATCCCATGCCTCTTCACACACCAATAAAACCCCAACACCTTCTCTACCAACAGCAGAATCTGTGAGTAGCTTTTAACTGAAAATAGTTAAGTTTCATAAATTTTAAAAATTATAAAAAAATACACGACAATATTATTTTTATTATAAAGATCTCAAATCTAATAACATCACTACATGGTACACAGAATTACTGGATATCAGAAATTGCTTCAAAAAAGAAAAGCAAATTTGTAAAATCAATTTAAGTCACATGAAATCTGTAGTACTTATTTGCTTAACAGGTTCTGCAAGCTTCTTTATCAACCTTTGGCATTCAAATATTTTCAATTAAACAGCAACTTCTTCATTGGAAAATATTTTAATTAAAAATTCCAAACAGCCCTCTTACTTACACAACATAACCATAAAAAAGGATTTTTGCCACAAGTCCTCTAGTCTCCCATAGCTATTCTTTCCACTGGAGAGATATTACAGATAGTCATTACAGCACAGCACCACCACTACAAGGCAGAAATACCAACTCAGCAACTTCCAAATACAGATAGCCCAAAACTAGACAGGAAAAATGTAAGGAATGATTCTCTGCATTACTGAATTTTTTAAAAGTGTTTTTCAGACTGTACCTAAGTTTTATGTGTTCCTGGCAAGGTATTTATAATTCTGAATCTTTTTATTAGGAGAATAATCACCATGTATGATACATATCAAAAACTATGATTTTTATACACTGGGTTTCTTTAAAGTGAGGTTAACCTGTGTTAAGATATATATGGCCTGTACCAAAAGTCTCAAACTGCAGTAAGTAATAAATGATATACGTAAGAGCTTGGTTTGCTAGGAAGAATGCCCACAATAAAGCAGTGAAAGCTAAAACTAAGGTGGGGGGGAAAGTCCGGAAAGTGAGAGATAAGTCCCCTTTTCAAGCTTGCAGAAAACCTGAAATTTTTTTTTGCCATATTTTTAATTGAAATATAGTCAATTTACAATGTTATGCTAGTTTCTGATGTACAGCAAAGTGATTCAGTTATACAATCCATACTTTTTCATATTCTTTTCCATTATGGTTTATTACAGAATATTGAATATAGTTCCCTGTGCTATACAATAGGACCTTGCTGTTTATCCATTCTATATATAATAGTTTACACATCTGGTAGTCCCAAACTCCCAGTCCTCCCCTCCCCCTTGGCAATCACAAGTCTGTTCTCTATATGTCTATGAGTCTGTTTCTGTTTCATAGGTAAGTTCATTTGTGTCATATTTTATTTTTCTTTTCTTTTTGCAGTACCCGGGCCTCTCACTGTTGTGGCCTCTCCCGTTGCGGAGCACAGGCTCCGGACGCGCAGGCTCAGCCACCATGGCTCACGGGCCCAGCCGCTCCGCAGCATGTGGGACCTTCCCGGACGGGGGCACGAACCCGTGTCCCTTGCACTGGCAGGTGAACTCTCAACCACTGCGCCACCAGGGAAGCCCTGTGTCATATGTTAGATTCCACATATAAGTGATACCATATGGTATCTGTCTTTTTCTTTCTGACTTACTTCACTTAATATGATAATCTCTAGGTCCATCCATGTTGCTGCAAATGGCATTATGAAATATTCCCTTAAAATGATACAAGAAACATTATCTGACCCTAATCCTGCATTCTAGGTATAACTGTCAACCTTACTGAACAGCTATCTCAAGGTGGATTTGGTTGTATTCAATATAGAGGGCATGCAGGTTCTGTATCCAAAACAAACTTTTTAAGATAATTTAGCTTAACTGAAAAACAACACTCCAACCTCCCTCCTTCCATTCCATTATGATACAGTCACTTGACACCAAATTCCAGTATGGTGTATATTTACTACTAGAACCAGAAAGGATAACTCTAGTTCAGAATTAATCTAGTAATTCATCAAAAATAACTTCTGATGGCCCTAATTAGAAAATAAAAAGAATTAAGCACACAGACTAGAAAGAAAGCTGTCTGCATTCACAGATGGCATGATTATGTACATAACATATCCAAAGGAATCTACAAAGTACCAAAACTGAGTTTATAAAGTTGTGGAATTCAAGGTCAGTATACAAAAATCATGTGAATTTTTATATACATATACTGAGCAAACGCTTGGGAAATTAATTTTTTTTAAATACCACTCTTAAAACATCAAAAAAAATCAAATATCTAGTGAAAAGACAATGAAAGATGAGCAAGAACTCTACCTAAAATACCTCAAAGCATTACTAAAAGATATTAAAGACCTAAACAGAGATATTTCATGTACATGGACTGGAAAACACAACACCATTAAGATGTCGATTCTCCCAAATTGATCTATAACTTCAACACAATCCTAATCAAAATCCCAGCAGGCATTTCGTAAAAACTGCCAAGCTGATTCTAAAACTAACATGAAAATCCAAAGACCCTAGAATAGCTAAAATAATTTTTGATGAAAAGTATACTACCTGATTTTAAGATTTACTTTGCTACAGCAATTAAGACAGTACAGTACTGGCATAAGGACAAATAGATCAATGAAACATAACAGATAGTCCAGAAATATATTCATACTAATACTTCCTTTTACAACAGAGGAGCCTCTACAATTCAGTAGGGAAAGGATGGTCTTTTCAACAAATGGTTCTGAAATAATTAGATATTCATATGGAAGAGAACACAGAATATCCTCACAACCTTAAAATAGGCAAAAATTCCTTTGACAAGACACAAAAGTCACTAACAATAAAATCAAAAACTGAGAAAATGAACTTCACTAAAATAAACATGCTCATCAAAAGACACAATTAAGAAAATCATTAGGAAAGCCATAGACTAATAGGAAAACTCAAAACATATATCTGACAAAAGACTCACAACCAGGATGTACGAGAATAATTTTTAAAACGAAACAATCCAATATTTTTTAATGAGCAAAATACTTGAACAGACACTTAGCAAAAGAAGGTATGAATGACTAATAAATAGTTAACTGTGATGAATCACCAGATACTACTGAATTTCAGTAGTCGACAGCGAAATGCAAATTAAAACCACAATGAGATACCACTTCACACCCAGTAAGATGACTAAAAATAAAAATCTGACAATGCCAACTGTCAGAATGTAGAGCAACTTGAAATCTCACATACTGCTAAGAGTATACAATGGTACAATCTTGTACTTTAGAAAAGTTTGGCAGTTTCTAATAAAACTGAACACAAGACCTAGCAATTCTGCTCCTAAGAATATACTCAAGAAAAATCAAAGCATATGTTCACCAAATTGTTCATAGCAGATTATTAATAATAAGAAAAAAATGGAAACAATTTAAATATTTATCAATAGGAGAAAGGATAAACACACTGTGGTACAGTCATACGATCCAAAAAATGATGTGTGTAACATGGATGAATTCTTAAAATATTATGTTGAGCAAAAAGTCAGACACGAATGCATAGTGTATGATTCCACTTATATGAAACTCAAGAATGGGTAGAATTAATATATAGTGAAAGAAATAAGAACTATGGTTACTTAAGAGATAGAGAGAAAAACAAGGAATCTTTCTGGGATGATGAAAATTATTTTTTACTTTAGATGGTAGTAACATGGGTACATACATTTGTCAAAATAAACTGTAAATCTGAATTTTGTCCATTTTACTGTATGTAAACTATAACCCAACAAAGAAAAAACACCAATAGAACACCTCTTTAAAAAGAGATAAGGAGATATGGGGGAATATTAAACTTCTGAGGAAAATGCGGTAGGTAGGGAGAGGAAGATGCTTTTTTTCCAAGAGAAAAGATAATGGCAATTATGTAAGAACAACATGCACTAAACATCATCATGTGGACCCAACAATCCTTTCCACTCATCTTTCAACTTAATAAATTTTAGGTAATTAAGAAATATTCTCAGCCAGAACTTTGGAGGGCCAAAGACCTCAGCAAGATAAAGGTCACTCTTTTAGTTGAGCCCTTCACAATGTCAGGCCCAGACTATTTTAATAGCTTTCTACTGGTCTCCGTATCCCTACCCTACAATCCTTCTTCCTAAAATATAAATCTGATATTGTTCTTCTGTTTAAAATACTTTAGTGGATTTCCATAACCTATAAGTGGCTTCCAGAGATGTTTAATCAGGTATTCTATCAGTAAAAGATTTTGAGTATCCACCTCCATATATGTATATTTTTATTAACAAATTAAGCATTACTGTAGCAATATATTATGCATATGATATATAAAACAAAAACATTAAAAAGGGATATAAACATGTAATATAATTAGAAGTCATAATACAAAAATGGCTCATCACAAGCACCTCTAAGTGTGGCATTACTGGGTTGGCCAAAAGGTTCATTTGGTTTTTTCTGTAAGATGGCTCTAGTAGCACTTAGTTGTCTTTAACTTCATTTGAAACAATTTTGTTAGACTGTATGTGACAGCTGTCATATCAGCATGCATTTAAGAAAAGATTTATCAAAACTGGTGAATTTTTGTGTAGCCATTTTAATACTGAAGATGAAAGAAAAAAGCAACATTTTCGGCATATTATGCTTTATTATTTCAAGAAAGGTAAAACGCAACTGAAATGCAAAAAAAAGATTTGTGCAGTGTATGGAGAAGGTGCTGTGACTGATCGAATGTGTCAAAAGTGGTTTACGAAGT